ATTTTAACCCAGGTGTCGTCAACATACCTGAACCAATGACTTGGTGGTGTCCCTGAAAAGGACGTCAAGGCTCTCTTTTCTACCTCCTCCATGTACAGGTTGGCAACAATAGGAGAAACTGGAGACCCCATAGCACACCCATGTTTCTGCCTATAATATTGCTCCCCATATGTGAAGTAGGTTGACTGCAGGCACAGTTTCAAGAGTTGACACAGTTGTTCTGTGGAAAGTGTGGTCCTGCTGCTCAGAGTGGTGTCTGATTTTAATCTTAAACTGACCACCTCTACTGCATCATCAACAGGAAGTAAAGAGTGATGTGACATCAAAAGAGACCATTGTTTCATCAGTCTCCATGATGACATCCCTCACCTTATCCACAAAGTCCATGGTGTTCTGTATGTGGTGTTCTGAGCTGCCAACTTTCAGCATGTTCTTCAGCAATAAGCATTCACACTGCATTTTCGCAGGAAATACAATTTCTCTAGTTTTGACAGAGATGGGATGTTTTCCAGGGACTCTTAACTTTATTCCTACACAGGGAGGCGGAGCTTCAGGGAAACCGCAGTGTTTCCAGCAGCTTCACCGACCCGATGTCTCTGCTCTGTCTCAGGTCACGAGTTTCCCTTCAGCATCCAGATGAGTCACGTGAGGAACTCTGCGTTCCAGGGAGGGGGAGGCCGGGATGCCGCTAATCCACCTGTGGAACGCCAGATGCAGGTCAGCAAGGACTGTCAGTTCATCCTCAGGCCCCGACCCACCGAACCGCCTCGACAGCACGCCCCTGCAGGTGAAACGACTCCTTACAGTGCAATCAACTTTGCCAAAAGTAGCAAAAAACAGTAATTTCTGGGCTGTTCTGTGTTCAGATTACTCTCAGAAACCATTCAAACGGAGGCGTTCGCTCATCGCCTGGGCCTTCTGGCGAGGCTCGTCCTCTCAGCTGAACGACCTGTCGGTCGCCGGAGCGGCTCGGGGACATTTGTTCGGTCAGCCTCTCAGCTCCGTGTGCGTGGAGGACGCTCTGCCCAAAGCCGTCATGGTCTGTGTCCACATCTACAAACTCTTTTACCGAAGGTTTACCAAAACTGAACGAGACCAACAGTACGAATGACCCCGAACAGTTAGATGTACTTAATACAAGGTATAAATTTGGAAAAACTTTAATCATCACCACAGACACAAAAACACAGGATGGTCTACGTTAGCTGTCCTGGAGGACTGCATGTTCAAAGATTTCTTGTTATCGCGAAGCATTACAACAAGTCAGACACAAATCATCTGAAAAACAAACCCCAACTCCAAACTAAAAGCTGGAACGTTGTGGAACGTCTAAACGTAAACATAAGGCGTTGTTACTTTCATAAACACGTATTTGAGTCACAATGGGACAAAGTAAAACACATAAAATGTTTAAAATAAGAGATTGTACTGTTTTGAGGGGAAAATCGAGATAATTTATAATGTTATGGCGGCAAAACGTCTAAAAACCGTTAGTAAATGTAAGTGGTATAGAAAACAGCAGGTCAGTAAGAGGACTGGATATAAAAAGGCATTTTAGAGACTGAATCTCCCAGAAGTAAAGACGGGCAGAGGTTCACCAGTCTGAGAAGAAAATTTGGAGTTATGTTCCTCACCAAAAACATTTACTTTGAATCTCCCATCGTTTACAGTTCATTTCAATAGCCCTACAGAACCTCACTGACCTACACAAGGCGAGGTCAGTGAACAAGTTCAGGCTGATTCTGGCAGATCCTGATCATCACTCCATGGTGCGTTCAGGTTGCTTCCATCTGAACAGACCGAAAAACTCATTCTTCCCTGTAGCGATCGGGCTTCTCAACGAAGAGATGACTTCGTGTCATTTTAATTTCTTGTCTAGTATGGACATTTTGTGACTGACTGTGAAACTACCGTATTTTCTGCCGTACACGTCACACCGTCCTATAAGTCGCATCAGTCCAAAAATGTGTAATAAAGTGGAAAAATCCATAAATATGTTGCTTCGCCGTATACGTCGCATCTATTATGCGTCACTGCAGACGCGTCTCGTTTGTTACTCGTCACTGCTGACAACCTGGAAATGTGGGCCGAACTCAGAAATGTGGGCCGAACTCAGAAATGTGGGCCAAACCCAGAAATGTGGGCCGAACCCAGAAATGTGGTCCAAACCCAGAAATGTGGGCCGAACCCGAAAATGTGGGCTGAACTCGAAAATGTGGGCCAAACTCGAAAATGTGGGCCGAACCTGGAAATGTGGGCCGAACTCGGAAATGTGGGCCGAACACGGAAATGTGGGCCGAACCTGGAAATGTGGGCCAAACTCAGAAATAT